TTTGTCCACTTTTTGTTATTGGAAGATAAATGATTTGAGTTCAGAGAGAGAGAGAGAGAGAGAGAGAGAGAGAGAGAGAGAGAGAGAGAGAGAAGAGAGAGAGAGAGAGAGAGAGAGAGAGAGAGAGAGAGAGAGAGAGAAAGAAGAACAAGACCTCACCCATCCTCCTACATCAGTCCATCGTTCTTGTTCCACTCGCTCCAACCACTATGTCCTTCCCTCTCCCCTTTTTAGAAAAGAAAAAAAATCGCTAATTTCCGTCAAATGTGTCTCCCGGTCTATTAGTTCCCTCGGTCCCTTCCTCCACCTAAACGCACACTCACACACCCGCGCTGCCGCTCTCAGCACCCTCATCCATTCACACCCCATCGGTCTCGCCTCACACGCCGCCCTCATCACAGTGCTGTTGAAACATGCCGTCATCAGCTCTGGTCGTGGCCATAGCTGTCAGGTGCGCTCTTCCCCCAAGAGCTATCCGGATGCATCCTAGAAATTCCACGAAGATCTGGAGGTCTGTCCGAGTCGCCCGGCAGCGCTCTCGTCCTCCCTCCAGCTGTGCCGCCGTCGACGTCGCAGAGTCCGCTGTTTCTCGGATGCACCCGGCACAGTAATGGCTACGGCCGGCCGGGGGCAACATCTCCCCAGTTTCTCAAAGAGACATTAAATCGAATACATTGATAATAGGCTTGTCAATGATTCCACACTGCACACGAAGTGACAACGACTAACTTCGGATAGTCTACACATGTACCGTATGTACAAATTTGTTTATGTTTACAGTCATTGGAGAGGTCTGAAAGTGACGCTATCGTATATTACAGAGGACAACATTCATCTATAAATCTATTTGACGATTTTTTTCTTGTTTAAGTATAGGGAATCTTATGACGTGCCCTTTTAAACAAGATTTAGGTACTCATAAGACTAACTGAAGTAAAATAATAAAAGTAAAACGTCCTTCCAAGGTAAGTCGTAGCTAAAGCTCGTAAGTACACTCAAGGAACAGAACATAGGTGAGGCTTGAATGGGCTTAACATCTCGAGACCTTTTACCGTGATGATACCGGTGTGATTTGCAGTATTAAACAAAATGCAACACTTAATCTTATTCACATAAATGTGTGTTGGTGTGTATGTATTGTATATGGTGTGTTATCTCTGTCTATCTAACCGATCTTTCCATCTATCTTATTTCATGTCTCATCTACCTATCTGTTTGTCTATATACGTGTGTATATGTATGTGTGTGCCGTGAAGGTATATATCTGTGTGTGTGTGAAATGAGTATAACTACTGTGGGTGTTAGTTTCGTCTTAGCATGAGTATATATCTGTGTGTGTGTGTGTGGCATGAGATAATGAATACTCTGGTGTGTAGTGTGCATAGAAGTAGACTCAAGAATCTTTGTGTGGGTTATTGTGGTCCTGTTGGATTGTGTTCATACTGTATTCTCCAAAAATAGAATACTGTGTTGACTCCTGTTCGCTTTGATATCAGATTCAAAAACTTTTCGAACTGTATTTGATGAGGTATGTCTCACATCCTCACACCACATTGGAGCTCGCACACTCACGAGCGTACTTTTTATCCAGAGCATTTTTTAACCACACACCTGGATAAACTTGCTGTGGGAGAGTGCCAGAATATCCCCTAAGCGCTTTCGTTCGCCTCTCACTCTCTTTTCTTTCTTTTTGCTTTTCTTTCTCCTCTCATCTCCGTATCACTTTATCTTTTTGCTCGCGGTCTTCCTTCTATACTCCTCCTCTTGTAGTCTGCCCCTTCTCTGTCTAACCCCACCCCTTCGCTCTCGCTCTCGTCCATCATCTCTCTCTCTCACTCTCTCTCTGCATCCAATCTTCTCTCTCTCACTCTTCTCAACTCTCACTCCTCGACTCATAGATCTCTCGCTCTCCGGTTCTCTCTCTCTTTCTCTTCTTTCTCATTCTCATTTTCTTTCTCTCTCTCTCACTCTATTTCTCTCTATTGTTCAATCATATCTATCTCTATCGATCATCCGGGCTCTCCTCTCTCGTGCATCTCTCTACTCTCTCTCTCGGTCATCTCGTCAATCTCATCTCTCGCCTCCCTCGGACCAGATTTCTCTTCTTACTCTCTCATCCTGCTCCTCTGTACTCTCGTCGATCTCTCGCAATCTCTCTCTCTTACTAGTCTCATCTCTCGTCCCTCTCTCTCTCGTCTCTCTTCCTCTGTCTCTCTGAGTCGCTTTTCGCGGTCGAGATATCGGCTCGTCTCTCTTCTCTTTCTCTTTCTCTGGCCATCTTTTTCCTGTCCTCTCCTCTCTCATCCTCTCATCTTCTCAGTACTCTTCTCGTCTCTCATCTCACAA